AGTCCAAACAAATGACTTGCCATGAAGGCAGTCGGTAATAGGAGCTGTGATAGAACTAAAATGTGAAATGAAACGACGATAGAAAGATGCTAACCCGTGGAAGCTACGTGCCTCCGTGAATGAGGTCGGAGTCGGCCACTCACGAATAGCGGCGACCTTATTGTCGTCCACGCGAATCCCGGCAGCCGAAATGACGAATCCCAAAAAAAGAACTGAGTCGACCACAAAGGAGCACTTAAGAGGCGCGGCATAAAAGGCCTCAGAACGCAGTATCTGCAACACCGAACGAACATGCCCCAAATGCTCGTCAATAGAGCGGCTATAAATGAGAATGTCGTCAAAATAAACGACAACACAACGCCCAATGAGATCACGTAAGGCCTGGTTCATCACCCGCATGAGCAGTTGCAGAGCATCGCGAAGATCAGCCATGCCCGCCGTGAGGTCTGCCAAATCGCGGCTCATCTCCTCGCCGTGCCGCGTTAGGGCATCAATCGCCGCGTCCCTCCGGTCGTCTGCGGGATCGTTCCTCTTGGGCGGCATCTCGGATCGTAGCTAACTCTGAGTACCAACTGATGTAGCGCAACAATTAAACGAAAGGGAACAAGATGAGAAAACTCAATCTGATAATTTTTATTCGTAAAAGTCTGTCTCTCTTTGAAGAAGAAAAGACAATATATAGAGACCTATCAAGCTAAATCCCTAATTTCCTAAATAAATAAAATCCCAAAGGAAATAAAATATTCATCTACTAAGTAGGAAAAGGAAATAAAGCAGAATAATAAAATAAGTAGGAAAATAATAATCAAACTAAAGATGGTAAACGATCATATTTGTCCATAAATGCCATCGCGATCTCGTCTCCATCAAGTACTCTCTAATAACCCAACACACACACAAAAAAAAAAGGATAATTTTAAAATAGTATAAGTTAATGTAGCTATATTAAAATTTTTCAGCTAAATATATATATATATATATAATAAAAAGTAAAACATCTTTATTTCTTAAGACATTTCATTTTATGAACATTTTAATTAGTTGTTTATGTATAATATATATGGGACAAATTAATTGGGATATAGTACACAAGGGCATGTGCCACTAACATCATCATATATTATAATGCATGCTCTCAAAGTTAACTAGTCTTTAATTACATTACCGTCCATTAATGAAAAAGGTTGAAGTTTAAACGTAGCTAGAAAGTTATAAAATAAAGGAGCTAATGAACACTTTGAAAATTTTATTCAACATTTTGATGAAAGTGATGTCTCAATAAAAAATTCTTAATTTGTCGCAAATTAACCCTTAATAGGCGCAACTAAATTGGATTTCCTGAATCATATAGGTGATCACTCTATAAATAGGGTTATTAACAAACATAATAATCATCCCAACTACTCACAACTGCAATTAGCTTATTTCACTTATTTTCACTTCTCCCTCATCAATGGCTAACTCTCTTTTGATCACTTGCTTGGCTTTCTTTTCCCTAGTATCCAACTTTTGCTTTGGCCTAAATCCTAACGATTGGGGCCCCGGCTCAGGTTGGGGTTCACCTTCGAGTATGGGATCGGGACCTGTAGGTCCCGGGTCGCCCCCGGTTTATGGCTCGGGGTCGCCACCCTCAGGCTCGGGTTGGGGTTCAGGATCAGGTTCGCCCCCTGGTTTTGGATATGGACCGGGATCCCCCGGTTATGGTTCGGGATCAAGTTCGACCCCCGGTTTTGGTTCTGGATCGGGATCCCCCGATTATGGTTCAGGATCTGGTGTGCCCCCCGGTTATGGTTCGGGACCGGGATCCCCGGGTTATGGTTTGGGATCAGGTTCGCCCCCAGGTTATGGTTCGGGACCGGGATCCCCCGGTTATGGTTCGGGTTCACCCCCTAGTGGGTCGGGTTCACCCCCGGGCTCGGGATCAAGGGCGGAATGGTCTACTGACCAAGCAACTTTCTATGGACCTCCCACGGGCGATGGAAACGATGGTAAGATCGATAATCACATGCATGCACTCATATAAATCGACCATATTCACCGTGTGATCAAGAGTCAAAACTTACATATATACTTGCCTTGTTGATTTCACTTTTCGATACTAATTTTTGACAAAATTGATGCCTAATTGTGTAACGATCGATTAATTAGTTAACGCGTGCGGATATGGTGACCTGCCAAAGCCTCCATATTTGTCCATGGTCACAGCAGTCAACGATGTCACCTTTAAGAATAAGATGATGGGTTGTGGTCATTGTTACCAGGTAAATTAAAAATATTCACGAATCACTATAGTTCACACTTTTTGAATAATTATCGTGCTCGTTTTTTTTCATTATTTTTAGATTTTACTTGTTTCCATTTTTTTTTTGGTCCGTATAGATAAAATGCTCGTTGGATATATGCTCGAGCAAACCGATAACGGTGACTGTAAACGATTGGAGTGATGTTCATCACAAATTTGATTTAAGTGGCACTGCCTTTGGAAGTATGGCCATCCGTGGACAAGAAAACCAACTTCGGAGCAAGGGAATCTTGGATGTTCAATATAAGCAGTAAATTCATAAACTATCTTTACCAATATTATGGGTGTAAACGAGTCGAGCCAGATCCGAAACCCTGAACGAGCTAATGATCGAGCTCCATCTTTACTTATTTTTTTATCAAAATTAACGAGTCAAATTTTAAAAAAGAAGAAAATTTTATGGAAAAATCAACTTTTCTAGCCGATTAAATTAAACTAACTAAACGAACTAGAGCCCGGCTCATTTACAACCAATATAATACATTTTATCATATCATTATCATTATGATTTATTTTGATATATAATGGACTAGGGTGGACTGCAATTATACGGGGACAAATGTGGCATTCCGAGTCGACAAAGCCTCAAGTACTTACTATTTCGCGATGGCTGTACAATACGTTAATGGCGATGGGCTCACGGGAGTCGATCTCAAACCGGCCCACACGAACGATGCTTGGCTCCCGATGAAAATATCTTGGGGCGGTGTTTATTCGGTTAACTTGAATGGCTATAGCCCACCGTTTTCCATCCGATTGACCCAGAACTCGAAAACCGTGGTGGCCGAAAATGTGATTCCGGCCGGTTATAAAATCACAACTTACACATCAAACGTCAATTTTTGATGGTTGCGATTATTATTATTGCTCGTTTAGTATGAATTTACTATTTCTCGTTCCTTTTTAATTTTTGTTTTCAAATAATAACTCTAGAGGTATTTTATTATTTGAGACACATTATTGTATCTCGAATAAAGTACTGATGAATGCCTTAGCCCAAAAAATAAAAAAGAAAAAAAATTGTGGTCAAACTTTATAGAATGTTCGTAGAGGATAGACCTCTTTAGTTAATGATCAAGTCTCTCGGCTTTCTTCAATAATCATAAATAAAGTTTATTTTATATATTTTTTTTATGTGTGTTGTGATTATACTTTGGTGGTTACATATATATTTGAATAAAGTAGGCTGAATAAAGTATCAATTAAATTAGAGAGGATGATAACTGATAACCTATATATGTGCAAATTAATTGAGAATTTGATCTCCATTGTTTGTAGCTTGTTGAAACAGATATTGGAAGTAAAATAGAGTACACAATAGTATGTTCAACACCAAAATTAAACGCAAAAGCAATTAATTTTAAACTCTTTTCGGGGAGCATACCACTATTCATTAGAGTTCTTTCCTTAATAGTTCGGTTTGCACGCACAACGTACAATTTGGTCTTACAAGACTCGAATTCCATTCTAGTTTAGTTAAAACTATACCCGAACATAATAATTAATCCTCTGGTCACAACTTTGTGAACTTCAAACTAGTTAAGAATCCCTTCCAACTATCCTAGTATTAAGTTCCTAAGTACAAAAATGTTTGTAGAGCGAAGAGAACGAGATTTGGAAAGCGTGGGTCAAAGTTTCAAGTCAATTGAATATGTGTGCGAAAAGTTAGGGCGAATCGATCATCAACGGGCCATGACCGGGACTAGACACGCACACATGCCCACACGGTCGCGCCCGCGAGCTCTTGGAAACTACCGCGACGTCGAGAGTGTCATTCTCCCCAAGTCCGCGAGCTCGTGGAAAATTCTGCGACGTCGAGAGTGTCACTCTTCCAAGCCCGCGACCTCGAGGAAAAATCCGCAACCTCGAGAGTGTTATTTTCTTCACGCCCGCGCCCATGCTAGGGCACGTCCGTGCCCATGCCAGCGCACGCCCGCGCCCGTGCCAGCGCACGTCCAGCACCCCTGCGCGCGCGAAATGCCCAGCGACCTCGCGAGTCCACTTCCATGCGTGCCCAGTGCCATGCCCACGCCCGAGCTCGCGAATTTTGTGGCGACCTCGAGAGTGTTTGACTAAATATGCGTGTTTTTAGTGTGTGTTTGTGGTGTAGCTATAAAAAGACATTATGCTTTGTATTTTTAAACATTACCCTCATTTCCCAACTTTTAAGTTGGGAATTCCTCTTTATTTTCTCTTTTCCCTTTTTATGCTTTGGTTTGGAGCTTATGAATCAAGTTTTTAGGCGAATTTTCGGCGACATTGTTTCGAGTAAAGTTTCGAACTTTTGACTCCGGTTTTCTTCCCAAGTGCGTGTGAGAGTGGGTACTTAGTCTTAAGGCCCGTTACTTCGTATATCGTTATTTGCTTTTTGTGAAAATTGATATTGTGCTTGTGTTGCTTGGAGGAAAAGATTGAATCTTTAGATCGTGAATGCTTGACTAAGTGTGATTAGGAGTTGAATGCTTGCTCGTCTTGTGCTAGAGTTGGGTTTAGCTTCCTAGGGTTTTAGCTAGCATGGCAATGTTCGGTTATTTGCGTGTTACTGATCATGGAGACTCCGGCAAACCAAAATCTCTTTTTCCCCCTTGATTTCTCTCATCTTCTTGCGTGCTTAGTTAATTGTTTTCAATTACTCTCATTTCGTAGATTAATCTAGTTTAAATTCAAACCCTCAAATTGCGAGTAGAATGTTTAGGACCTTTTCGGTTGTGTGACTTTGACGACTAGATAGTGAATGAAGCTCCGAAGAGCCTTCCTTTGAGAACGACCCGAGTCGGGTAACTCGGTTACCACATGCCCAAAAATAATACAAACAAATTCAAGTAAAAACATGTCTTATTTAAAATTTAAATTTTAAAATTCCTTATCAATTTATTACATTTTCGGATGATTTGTTTCCAACATCGGACGTAATTAATGTATGATTTCAAATTATATCAAGGATGTTTAATAAATGCATAGAATTTCAAAGAAGTTCATTTATTATAAAAAAAAATAAATTCTAAAAAAACATTTATGTCTATTTTGTAAATTGTTTGTACAAAATGTTTTACTTTAAATTTATTTACATAATTCAAATTAATTACATTAATGAATAATATTAACATATATTAAATATTTTAAACACATAAAATAAAAAGAAGAAGAAAACTACATATAACCTGTATAAATAATAATAATGACATTATATTACAATAAATTTTATAATAAAATAATATGAGTATTATACGAGGAACAAGATTGCGTAAAATTGTTATTTTTCTTATATCAAGAAATAATATATATAATGAAATTAAACTTATATTATTATAAACATGTGAGCTAGATAATATATTAATTAATTTACGGGCTAGCGCTATCAGACGCAGGTTTAATGTCCCGGCACAAAAAATGAAGTTGATGAAAGGTAAAAAAAAGATGATCAAACTCTATCATTTTTTAGGCCTGAACGGACAAGCTTTATGCTCCACTCATTTAATATCTCCCGTGAATCGCACGAGATACTTAACGGACAAACTCTGTGGAAATGATTCATTTAATACTTTTGTCTCGTACATCACACAAACTACGTACTAGTTATTTGTAACCACATGACCACCCAAGACTTATGACTCCAAAAGGAAGTTGGGCCAATTGGCCTAACATAGATTTTATTAGAATTTGATTCATGAGAAATTGATTGTGGAATGTTACATGCTGGGCTAGCTAATCTACACGCATTGTAAGCATTTATTTGGCCTGGGGCAGACATTATTAGAAGAAAAAAAAAAAAGGAGTCTTGGTGAATTATTTGGAGAGAGAACAAAAGTCAGGATGTTACTTAATGATTAGTCGGAAAAAAATGTGTGTTTTATATATTTATTAGTATAATTTTATATGATTAATTTTACCACACTTATATATTTTTCGACCTATTTATTTCTTAGATGAATTCGGGTTCTATGATATTTTTGTGGTTTATTTTCAGACTATTGGAGTATTTTTGTGGACGACATGACACCAAACGAATTTCACCGGAAGCTGTATGAGAGTACCCAATCTATATCCAGCCTATTTACGCCCACTTATGAAAGAAGTTAAGAAGTTAAATCACACGTGGGATGGACTAATGTCCATTTCTTAGTTGGTCTAAATTAAAGCACTTGATCATTAAATGATCCCTGGATGGCAGTTTTGGAGAATAGAGTTTGGGCCGCCGTCTGGTGATCGATTTGTTGAACTCGGCCCACAATTTTTCCAATGGCCAAATAATTTTATGAGCACAATTATCAAAAGAAGAATTGATAGCCACGAAAGCCTCACGTAGCCTCGGGATTTAATTGGGGCACGCAGAGAGGAAAAAAATATTCACATCGCACAGAAATCAGGGAGAAAACAGAGAACGGGAAAAGAGAGCCACACAGGCAGAGAGCGGGGAATCAGGAAAACGCACACGAGACGGATAACTCTATTCTTCTATTTTATTTATTATTTATTATGTTAGAGTAGAATTTTATTTCTAGTTTCGTGGAACTCGAACCCTATGATTGACGACGTTTTGATTGATTTATATAGTTGATAATTTCAATATCTTTATGGAATTGTGCGCATTATTTGAATAATTAACCATGTGTTGAGTCTTATTTATATTGCTCACCTAGATTAGGCTTTTCATATCTACATCTGAATTAGACCTTCAATACGTAA